TTGTAGACAGCAATCTCGGCAGGCCAGGCTTGGCCAGCTTATCCCGGACCATGTCGAGATTTAGGGGTACAGTGCAGAAGGAGTGCCGGTTGTAAGAGACCCTTGTCTATCTATATAAAAGATAGCTCAACAAACCACAGGCCCTCTTCCTCGAAGAAGCACGTTAGCTCGACCAGTCATCAGCGCCTAGTAGTCCATCCGCACGGATATTGCAAACGGGTCTCTCCCGAGCCTCACTAGCTGGCCAGGCCAATGCATGTGAGGTACACGGCGTAAACCAGACGAACGATGGCATGACACCCTGTTAGCCGTATCGTTTTGTGTCAAGGGCCTTTGCCCGCGAGTCTGACCCGTAGCGCGGATGCCAACTGCAGTCAGCGGTGAGGCGGATGCTGTCAGCCAATTGGTCAGACCTTGGCGTATATGGTCAGACTTCCCCATCCAGAGCCACCACCATCATCAGGGGACGAGTCCGCGCTCTCAAGGGTTAGAACGAACGTACCCAAGACAACGCACGCACCTCCAGCATCTGCCTATCTACAAGCCCCTTGTATGGTTCGTCCCCCGTACTGCCAACACACGTACAGATACGCATACACATATAGTCACAATGTACCCGAGGCAAAGCGTCCCACCGCAGCCGATGTGGAAACACTTTTAAAAATTAACTCGTTGCTGGCCGACACACACAGACAATCCCCCTCAACTCAACGTTGTTCGACTAGGAGATGCTCTATCACCGGTAAAGCATACGGTGGCCGTTGTGATAATGTAAAAGTGAGATGATTTTGGTGTTAGCGTATATCCATAGTGTGAAATATTAGGCTGGAGAAAATGGCGAACATTTTAACGCGGACTCGTGGTTATTTAATCGACCTTTTGTCGAACATATCTGTTCATCTGTATATATGCATATATACACTAGGCTGCACTTAATCTGCAACGCCTAATTATTTTAGCTTACAATAAATATATTCGATATAGGAACCATATGTCGCGTGCATCGGTCATAAAAAGCATTCTGTCTGTGCTTGTAAAAAAATATGCTTCCCAATGTGGCTCGTTAGAAAATTAACGAATAGGCTGTACAAGTAAGAACTTGTGTTTTAAGTTACAAACAAAAGATTGGTCACGTATAGAAAAGACGTTTGCAAATATAAATCGATCCAGCTTCCCTACATAGTCGCAGTTATCATACGCAGTCCCTTGCTATGTCCATTCAGCACTACTTTTTCTATCCAATCTCTATGACCGGGCCCATTCGTACGATGACACTTTTTGACGTCAAATGCCTGACGAATCCTTTAGATTTGGAGGCCCCGTTCGGTTACAGCTGTAGAAAAGACGATATTGAGATGCAAACAAGGACGAAGAAAGGCGCCGTCAAAGAAGGTTTCTGAAGTCAAGAAGATCGCTTGCTACCTGTTTGTGCCAAAATGTTTCACTGCTGGATGGGCTCCTAGCGATCACATCGCAGCGTGTGCCAATCCCCCAAATAACTGACTCTTTTGCCTGCTAGCAAGGGCGGCGGCAGCGATAAAGGCACTGAAGAACCGACCAAGTAATCAATGTATTAGCCAATGCAACATGTTGCTGGCCCTCTTTCTCCCTCTTACAGGGTCTCGAAGATGAGCCAGTGAAGAACTGTGAGCTCCGTGTACCGCAGTCAGTGTAGAACTCCCCAGAGGGTCCGACTGGGAGTACCACTAACTTCCCAACCGTAATATTTTCCCTATACTCTCCCTTACCCCATCCATTGACTACAGCCGTTGGAGAGGGGGCGGACGCGTTTGCGCTGACCATCTCCATCGGCCCGCGGGAGGTAGCCCTAGCCAGCTATTATTAAGACAAACTAGTTATTTTAGGAAAGCATGCAATTTTTGTTCATACACTAACCCAATGCTAGTATGTTCAGTCAAAGCAGACGGATTGTTGTTGATTTAGAAAACAACGCAGAAAAAGTACACATAGCGATAGCTTGCAGACGACGCGGTAGGTTTATTCAGCTTTGTTTTTACATGTATATATTATTTATATAAACGTAAACACCGATGACATGAACAGAATATTGCCACAGTGAGTCAGTATAGGGACTGTTTCAGACTTAGGGCTGTTGTAGATTGCGCGCATATTCGGTAAGGTACCGTACCGTCCGTTTTTTTAGCCTAATAGCAGCTATACAGGTGACCCTTAGAACGATGCCGGTTTGACCGCTTATCTGATCTTGGAACCATCAACAGCAGCTGGTAATTAAGCCAGATCGCCGTTTTCTTCAGCATGTAGGTTACCTCCGAAAGAAAACGCGTTCTATTTACCTATATATGGAACACACTGATATGACGAAATAATCACAAACAGTCAGTTTTATCCTTTCTATAAAACAACTACAGAGTCTGTGATGTCAAGGAAAATGATGTTCTATTTGCAGTGTTTCACTGATTATCAATAGAAGTTAGAGTTGAGAGAGTGGATTACTGCCTGAAAATTTTTAGAAACATTTGCACGAGGTAATCCTGAAGATCCCCCATGGCTTCTAGATTTAAGGACATTAAAAATCCATCAGAATTACTGAATTGTTACCTATAGTTTAACATATTTAATTTACACGACTATGGCGCACTGAACGTTGAAGCCGGTACAGACCACGCTTGTCAGGCAGTAGGAAGTTGTCGCTTTCTAATTCTGCTCCATGGCTTAGCGCACATGCAAGATTACCCGCTGCAGATACGTCCATTGGCCTGTTAAAATGATTTATTGTCAATACGACTATTGCTATTATTCATTTTACTCTCATTTGCATAGATATGCGGCCTTATTGAATGGACCAGCAGAACTCGTCACTGTCAGCGCTTGTGTCCTGGTAAACAGGTGAAACTACAGTGTTATGATGCCTGGGCAGAAGGCCAAGCTACTGCAATATGCGCTGCTGACATGATCGAAAGAAATTATTGCTAAGTATAGGCGCTACGGCACAGTCAGTCCCTACCGTGTTCAGCGAAGTTCAGCCGGAATTCTCAATTGAAAGTGATTTCCCTATATTGGAGTAAAAATCGATATGGAGATAGAACTTGTCTGCAGCGTAATCTCATTATTGAATTGCCAAATGGGAAAAGTAATATACACGTATGAGCTATGAAGATCGTGTTGAATTTGGCCAACTAACGAATACCGCGAAGACAAAATAGTTATAAACAGAACGTTTTTTTAGAGGTATTTGTGACGACCGCTATGACGCGTATGTGTACGTAAATACTATATATATATATATATATATACAGACATATAGTCAAGACACTAAAATCGGCAACAACAGTCCATATCTCCGCTTATGTTTGTAAACGCAGTTAGGTAAGACCAGCAGTGATTTTGTTAAGAGCTTAAACTTTCTACTGTAAAATTTCCCCAAACTTCTCTTGGTCTCAAATCATGTTATATTTCTATTGGGGTTTCTAGTTCAGTTTGAATAAAATAAAACAACCGTTTTTACACCAATCAACGCATCCAGCGTCCATCGATCCTGATCGCCGTATCAGTGTCAATAACAGCTCTCGATTCAATTTCGTATAACCCAAACAATTAGCAATAACCCTTCGATCTCGTGATTTATGTCAACAGACCAGCAATTAAAGCACAAGTTAACTTTACGCACGTATCTGTGCAACATACAAAACTTTCTTTTCTAGGAAGGTAAGTTTTTTTTGCCACGTTTCGTTGGTCCGGAACGTGGTCGAGCTTTGACTGCCATTCAGCTCAAATTTTTACAAAACCAACAAAACAATCAAAAACAGATTTTAATTTTCTTCTTAAGACTGTAGTTCTTTCAACTGGACAGGAAATTAAGCATTGGATATGTTACGTTGTATTGAAATGTTTCTTTTTCTTTGAAGCTCAGACAAAATATGCCAGGCATTTCCCAGTCGGTTTTCGCTTTAATCAGTTGATTATATAGCCTATACTGAACAACAACATTGCAGTCGTGTTATGTCGGCCTTTCAACTCGTCTCAGTAGTATCGATTCCGCCTCTGTTCAGTTGGGAAAAAGAAATCAACAAAATTAGGACACTGTTGACGCATTATTTTAGTTGGCCTTACGCGGTGCGTGTCCTTGAAAGGCCCCTCGGAGAAAGAGTCAGCAGCATTGTATGAACCAGCTTCGAGCGCTACCCAGCAAATTTGGGGCCATTCTTTTGGCTGTGTTTTGTGTTACTCTCTGTCCGGTTATACGGAAATGCGCGTCCGAACATTCAATTCTTCTTCTAAGTGATTTAGAGTTGGCTGGTGTCTTTAGTTGGCCACGTGTGCATATATATATATATATAATATTATAGTTATATGTCAGGTAAATGAGATTTGAGTTTTAGTGACCTTGTTTTTAGATCGATCTAAAGGTTTTTAGATCTTTTTCTTAGATAGATTTTTCTTGTTTTTAGATCGACCTTGTTTTTAGATCGATCGGGCTAAAGGTAAACTTTTTGAACCCTTTTTTAAAAAGGTCTCCAAAAAGGCATGCTCTGAGGAGTAAATCCAAACGTGTTACCATTCCCTACTACCTTAGCCATATTTATCCTACACGCCAGCATCTGTTAGTATACATAATGAGCCACTATCGGTGAATTAGTAACTCTGCACGACAATAATATTAAATTTATTAATAATATAAACCAATTCATTAAATAACCGAAAAAAATAATTAACCGATTAAATAAAATTTCCATGTAACAATGCTTTAGAAGGGCATCCTCTGTCGAGGAGTACGTAGGAATAGAGATCAAGTAATATTAAAACGTCGACGACATTTATATGAAAAATTGTTTTAGTTGAGAAAACAACCCCTCTACAGCCCACACACAAAGACCTGGAGAATAAAAACACATAAGAACATACATACATTAGCAACAGACAGAAGTAGGCTAGCACGAAAGCTATCAATGTTAGTTGAGCTAACGGGTTCAATCGTCCGTTTTTTCATGTTTTTTTTGTTTTATGTCTTCGTTATCTAGGTCACTCGGCGAGCCTGGCGGAAGATGGTCGGTCTTTGGAGCCGCAATTACCCCCGCTAGCCCCTCTAGCACCGCTCGCCCCTTCGGCGCCCAACGTGGCTAACGTTGCAAACGTGAACGCTATGTATGGCGCGGGGGGCGTCCTTAGCCAAGCGGGAGCTCGCGCGTTAGGTCAAGCACAGCATACGAACGGGCATAACATGTCTAACATGTTGCTCGTAGGGCCTCCGCTAGCAAAAGCAGGGCCCCTCAACGCCGGGGCAGCATCAGCAAACCCCCGGAAATACGGCTGTAAAATGTGCCCCCAGGTAAGTGTCGTGTTCCAATAGTAGGTAATGCATCAAGAATTGAGCGTATGATTTCGGTAGTAAAAAACGAGAAAGAAAAGCTCCTATATATATATATATATATATAGGAGCTTTTCTTTCTATATATATATTATTTTTTAATTATGTAGAGCGTAGTGGTAGTACTCGGACACTCGATTATTGCCTATATATAAACTATGCTGTATAACATTAGATTAAATTTGACATATATTTTGCTCATAGGAAGGAACTGTTAATATAATTACGAATGTAAATATTAATAGCATTGAGTTCAAAGCATTTGCCGAACAATCTCCCTAGAAGTTTCGTAATAAGTCTGCTTACTCATTGGTTAAACGCAGTTAAATAAAATGCACCACGCTTATACAACACACTGACCATGAGGAGATCTAGCTATACACGGCACACGTCCAGAACGACCACAGAGATTTTTGCTCTTAGTCGGCCATGTTTTTGACGCGCTCAGCCAATGCCATTGTGTTTTTTTACCGCCTGCTTAAGTAACGCATTGAGAAATTGCCCACTGAACTAGAAGTTTAGATACTAGAGGCTAGAAGACGATTCTTGTCGGGTTTTTTTCAACAGCTTTATGAAATGGCGTGGTAACAACTCAAGTAGCCTTCTGTAATGATCCACAATAGTAACACAATCTTTGCCAACGCTGAGATTTGAACCAGCGGTGACCGCATGCTTACTTGTTCATAGTTGCCGTGGTAACATACTCGAAGAGATGCGCATCAGCCACGCAGACCACGCCACTTTCTCCTCGAAGTATGTAGTTAGCCGATGTAATAGTTGATCACCCTTCGTGTCCCTACAGCACCTATACTTACACAGGCCAGCTGAACTAAATTGGGTTTCCAGCTCTCTGTCCCTCTGTTCTGGTTAAGTCCCCGCTTTCTTACCGCATAGGGTACCGCCCTGTCTAAAATACGAAGGATTTACGAGTCAAGCAAAGAGAATGAGGGAGAAAAATAGTTTCTGAAGTCCCTAAGTACATGACAAACCTTTAGAACCCCTCCTAGGAAGAATCGCGACGTGTGCCTATGTGCTCAAATATACGCGCGTAGATCTATGCCCCTGTGCTGGTCCAAAGCTAAGAGGCAGTAGTAGTAAATAGTGACTTTGGGCTTGGAGTGCAAGGCGCATGATAGCGACACCAGAGCAGGTATGGTGTGAGAAGCTTCACTCACAGTAGCACTGAGGCAGCCAGCGCGAATCTGCATGGCCTTCGTCTAAGCTATGGCGCCTGAACCTGCTGTTAGTCTACGACCTAGGCGTCGAATGCGTGCTGGGACCTACAACCGTGTCTTAGTCGTGGAGCCACCTCGGCAGTTACCTCAGCAGCGGCTGCACTAGCGCCGGGCGCTCCACGTCAGGGGAACAGCGTCTCCGCAAAAACTTTTCTACATAAATAAAAACGTATTAGAGAGAAAACGATACAGCCGGTAAAATGGGACAGCGAGCGACATAAGCACGCTGGTGACCGAGCGGTCGGTCCACCGATCGTGTGAGAGTGGGGCAAAAATATGATAGAGAGATAGAGAGGGTTAATGTGGAACAGCAAAGCAGCAGGAGTATTGAGCGACTACGACAAGAAGGCACGCGAAAAAAAAATGGTAGAGTAATATATGAGGGGCAAAAAAGAAAACGGAATGAGCAGGAGAGGGGCAGAATGAGTAGCGATGGCTGCAGTGGCTGGGAGACGCATGAAGATCTTTTTATACGTAGGGTGCGTGCGACGGCAGACAGACGGCCGTGGCGACTGCAGCACAGGCCCTGGTCTAGGCCACGTCGCTCAGCTGTTCTCGGCCCCTTGGCGCATTTCTTCAGTGCGCTGTCTTGCCGTTGCTCCTTTGCTGCTACCGCTGTCCCGATACTGCCGCTGTTACCTAACTGGCGCTGCGTCTCACGGTGGTGATGATGAGATTCTCACTGCTGTTGGACTGGCGTCAACGCTGATCATTTGCGCTCTGAGGTGCTGCTGCCGTTCTGTCGGTTGGACAGAGCGCGGGCGCAACTGGGCTCGGACGCGCATCGGTAGCCGCCTCCTTTTTTTCTGCCGGCCCACCATAGACTACCGCTACCCAGAACCACCGTTCTTTTTGTGTGGCACCCCCTTTCGGCCCTTCCCCTACATATCCCTACTACTAGGACCGCTGCTGTTGGTGCTACCCAAAAAAAAAACGACTAAAAAATGCCTCCATCTTTTCTTTGTGTTGCTGCTGGTACAGCCGAATAGTAGCGGCAAAGGCGGTGTGAGCCGCTGGTCGGACGAACGGCGGCCCATGGCAGTGGCAGTCCTGTTTTCTGAGGGCTGGCCGACTCGGTCGGTTGCTGGGCGGTTCTAGCAGGGTAGAACGACAGTACTCGAAACCTATATGGAAAAATAACAAGACTCTCTAGCTGTGCGCTTCGCTTTGCCTAAGCTGGCTGACTGGCGGCTGGCCCCTCTGCCGGCTTCTGCCGGAGCCTCTGCGGCTGTTCGCTGGTGCCTGCTGCTGTTGGCCGTGTCGGCCACTGCCACCATCGCTGTATGTAACCTTAGTGTGTCTCAGGATAAAAACCGATGACTGACCGATTTTTACGTCAAGGAAAGGGAGCCTGCTCAGCTGCCCACGGCCGCTGCTGCTTTGCTGGGGAAGAGCCCCGCACCGGAGAGCGTCAGCGATAGAGACTTGGCTGGTTGGGCGCCTGCCTGGATGCCTGCCTAGTCGCTTGCCTTACCCTTAGCTGCTGGAGAAGCTCGCCGGCGGTGGCTGCAACACTCGTGGTAGGCAGCGTTCGGCTTCAGCAGGACACAGGACAGAGGCTGTCTTTGCTCGGCACTGTTATAAAGGAAGCACAGGACATAACAAGGCTCAGACGAAAAGAAGTTAATACGAACAACCGTAGAATGCGTTGAAAATGATGCAAACGCCGAGCGTCGCGTCGCTCTGTCCGAATACGTATCCATGACATTGAAAAGAAAAAATACGCGAGTGTTTGCCACTGCGGAAGGAAACAGGCAAATATCACTGGAGATCACTGTATTGTTACTGTATAGAGGAAAGTGAATTGCGCGCGCGAATCGGCCAGAGCAAACAGATGAGTTCAATCAGACTGACTAATAGGACCTAGACATTTTAAGGCGCGGTCCATGGCTGTTCATGTTGCTACTCGCGAGTAAAAGAAACACCTGCATGTAGTGTTGCTATCGGCGGCAGGTAACTCTTCACATTGATAGCAAAGTACAATAATGATAAAGTTACGCCTCGCAAAGTTAATGTTATCCGTCCCAGAAATATTCAGCTATCTTCGTGATCATTATGACGATAAACGTGTTTGTTTAGTACATCAAGCTAATTGTGGCTCGTCATTTCTACCCGTTTTTTTTCCAATGTTCAACTCACTTTTCACAAATTGTGGGTCGTAGTTCTTTGCTCACTCGAAGCGTCACTCTAGAGGACAAGTAAATACATACAGAACAGAAGAGAACTTAAAAGCTAAGTTAATTGTGTGATGTGCAATCCAATCGACCTAGCGTGATCTACAGTTCGCCAGTGTTAAACATTTACTATTGCGTACAAATTAGTGATATAATATCGTTTATATTGTGCCCCTCTAATCCACTGGATACATGTTAGATTTACGTAATCCTTGTTCATGGAAAGCAAAAATTGTGGCCACTCAAATGTGCATGTTTATATGTGTCTTGTGAAGTATTAACTGAGAAGTCATCGCGGGAAAAGTGAGAGTTGCCTTTTTTCGTCAATAACGACAAGCAGTTGCCCGTAAATGCCCTTAGACACGCTCCGTGCCCCAGTGGCAGCAGCCACTGCGGGTCTTCCACCGGGTCTCGATATTCGGCAGGTTTTGAGCAGCTTGAAGTGTCCACGCAATCTGCTCGATACGACAGGATACCTCATCAAACAGGTACCTATCGAAAACAAAAACGCATAGAAACTCAAATCGAGACACACGGAAATATCCCTGCCCGCTCTGCTGCAACACACGAAAACAAATATGACGTATTTTTGCTTAAGATATAAATAAATAATTTATATATACATATATATTTTTTGAGATATAAATAATTTATCACTGATACTTGAGTCTAAACGTTTAGTCTTTATTGCATTAACATTTGTTCCGATCTGAGTTTTCCCAATAGCTATCCGCGCAATCCTCGGTATCTCTTTACTAAAATTTTCTATACGAGCTTCATATATTCGCCACTTTAGCTGAGAGCATGATCGCTGATCTGAATTAGGCACGAAACCAACATCTGACGCGTCTCGATCAGACTGGTTGACTTTTCGTTGTTTCTCTCTGCGGCCTGTGCGACGCCAACTGCTACAGACTGAAAGTAGATCGTCCCACATGACTGCGTCTTACCTCGCAACCATTCTTCGGCCACTGCTCATCTAACTACGCATGAGAAGCACCTCGCTTCGTCTGTTTCTATCCGGTCTCCTGTGCGCGGTGAGTGTGCTCGGCCCATTTTGCTTTTCTCTCCCCCACAACTACACTGCCCTGCACAGTGAGGCTCGAAGGTAGAATCTACCCACGTCAACCTTGGATGGCGGGGCTTTGGGCGCGGAACTCCGCGAGCCTGCTCTCTGCCGCCTGCGGGAGCTAGCCATGGACAACTTGCCAACGGGGCGAGAGGGCCGGCGAATGGAGCAACGCTAGCGCTCCCAAGGAGCTATAGAGGCATAGGTGCAGTCGGTGCCGCCCGATTACAACGATATCGTCCTACGAAACGAACGCTACTCTAACGGCCACCGGTAATAGTATCACTACTTCTGTTTATCCCATAGCCACCCAAGCACACCTAGCTAAAGTCTAGTTCGTCGCTATACGACGCTCAAAGCCCACCAGTCGCCTCGTTATCATCAGCGTCAACGCCATGATGTGTGTTGCATGAGCTCCAAATAAGAGACGCTGCTAAACACTACCGAATCCGTTTGGCAGCAATTAAAAATTCGGAAATTACG